GGGAAGGGCCGCGCTGAGCGCCGCGGCCGCGGAGCAGCCCTCCCCGCTTGCGGCACCACCAGCCTCCACTGACCCCTCCCTTCAACAAGCGCCATTTCTTTATTTTCAAGGCCTGAGGCCGCGACTGCTGCAGATTCAAATCCTGACCCACCATCTAAGCAAGACCACCTCTCCTTCCTTTATCCATGTCCCTCACACCTCACCAGCCCCGAGCACGCTCTCCTAGGTGCTGCTCTCCCAGGGGCCTGAGCAGTCAGGAAAGGGGTCCAGGCCCCGGGCATCACCCTCCCCTAGCAGTCCCATACGGTTTCAGAGTTAGAAGCGTCCAAACAAAGAGCCACAGAAACAAAACAAACCCAAGAAACATTCAACAAAAAAAGCTTTCGTAAACAGTAGAGGTAAAATACCAAATGTTTTAGTCGCTTTTATTTGTTAGTGATCATTATTTAAAATGAGTTAAACCATGGTAAGGTCAACAGTCAACTGTTCCTTTGGTTACCTCTAAGAAGAAACACAGGTAGAGCTAGTTTGCCCACAGAGTATTGGGCAGCTGTGGTAACGCAAAGCCACCCCATCCTAGTTACATCTCTGTTACAAATACACTTAACAGCGATATCCTCATCCTCTCAGTGCTGCTTGCTTGACTGCTTGTGAACTGATTTCAAGCAACCACTTTTTGTTCATAGCGCATACGTATGGAAAGGTCTTCAGTTTTTGTCCAGGACTGCAGTTTCTCTCTGAGAGAGTCGTACTAATTAGCTCAAACGCACCCTCAGTTTCCTCCAGCCTGAGATCTTGAAGCCTGAACCCTTCTAACACTGGTGTTCCAAAGCACAGGTAACAGCAGAGTCGATTAAGTTACAAACTTTGTTTTCCATATAAAAACAGTGTCCCCTATGAGAATCAAGGCATCAAAGCGTGATTAGTCTTTCATTATAAAATTGTACCAGCATTTTTACTCAAAACCGTATAGATCTTGGATATATTTTTGTTTTGGTTCTGTTCTTGGTAAACAGTTGACAGTTATCAAACCCTGATTATGGTTCACTGAACCTCTGTACCAATCATGTGCATCACAAGTACATAAATAGATCTTAATGACCCAATATCAAAAATACAAGAACCTCAGGTATACTAAAGCAGTCTGTTCATGAAAATTCACACTTAATACATCTGTTCTCCTGAAAATAAAGGTGGCTCCCAAGAGGTGTCAAAAAGTAGTAGAAGGGAGCAGAAAAGATATTACAGGATTCTTGTCCAACTTATTGCTACATGTAGATTACTTCAAGGGTAACCGGGCTTATTAATTATCCTTGGAAGGTCAAATTGTATCAGGACTTTGAACACAGAGTAAAGGAAAAAATACCAATATTTATAAAAATAGCATCCATTTAAGTTAGTTATATCCTTATAAATACAAGAATGAAATCAGTTATTCTATAAAAAATTAATTAGAAGCGTATGTTCCTGAAGCACCAGCATAATATCCTAATATTGTCATGACTTCTCCAACTACAAAGACTTCATAAAAATACCTGCAAAATTTTCTCCTCTTGCTTATCATACACAAGACGACACATGGTGTGCACTTGTGATCTGTACTGACACATGGTGTTTGCAGTCAACTACCGAAGATCTCATATTTGAATCTCAAGTGGCAAGAAAACAGTTTTGTGCCAGCTAAGTATACTTCACAAGGTTCATCTCATTCGCACATGCAAAGCACGTGCTTCAGATGTAATTCGATCTGACCATAAGAATTAAAACACATGTATTTTAGGTTAAGAGGCAACAGTGCAGATACTATGGCTTAAAGTTACACTCCGCATAGTAAATGCTACAGTTGTGTAAAGAGGTAACAAAACCCACCCTCTTCTGCAACTGTATTAAGTGTAAAGTTTCAGAACTTCAGGAAATACTAAAAACCACAATTCTTTTGTGGTAAAATAACCAGAGAGAGCTTGGGGTTTGTTTTTAAACAAAACCCGGTTTGAAAGTCTATTAAAACAAAACTTAGTTTTAGTGACATGGATATTTTTAGTGTTTGTAACATTACAGCTTTGGCGTTCAGATCTAGCAAATCAGTATATCGTATGTAATATACATCATCCTCATCAAAACAGATGTTCTATAAGGAAAAATATTAACTCCATTTCCAATGGCAAACTTGTAGGATCTGACATTCCACCATGGATGACAGGAATCAGAGCACTGTCCAATTCATTCAGATAGTTCTGTGGCAGAAGCTGACCGCCAGAGCCTGCCAAGTACTCAACCTAGGAGGAAAAAAGTTTACATCAATACTTTTTTTATATTAATAAGATGACACAGAAGTTCAGTATCTTGGACACAAAACAGTATTTCACCTAGTACTGAACGACAGAAAACAGTATTAAAAACCTAGGCACTGGATGGGTTTCCAGATCAGTCACTCACTATAAGGTTTGCCATTGAGAAACACGCAACGTTCCCCTTGGGCTTATAGGGCCACACACCCTCTGCATCCCAGACTGCTTCAGATAGGTGTCCAGGAGTGATGCGATTACTTCCTAACATCACACTTCGGAGACTAAGTGAGTCTCCATTTCAAAACATATTGCTGAAAACTAGAAACTAAGTTGATTTACACGGTTCTCTGAAATAAGATAAGGAAGTATGACTGAGAATAAAATCTTCAGAGGCAAGAAAATTTAGATCCTGAGTTCAGCTCTTGAGTTCTGTGTCCTTTCCAGGGGCATCACCTACCAGATAGCCTTGCTTTCTCTCCCGTCCTCAGCTGTGCAGACCTGTCCTCTTCTGCTATACAGGCTTCGGTGCATGTACCCCTTACTGAACTAGCTTAGGGAGCTACAATAGCAGGAAACTGTGTACTTCAAGAAACGCAGATAATCAGAAAACTCTCTCTGTGATTCCCTAAATTGACTCACCTTGGAAGCAAATGAGTGCCAGAGTTAGAACGAAGGAATGACTGGTAACACATTGTAAGCAAGCTATCAGGGAATGGGGCAGAAAAGGAAGCAAGCCTATGCCTTCCAGGAGAAACTAGTCATTTGGACAGTTTCTACATGAAATTTCATCCTCCATCTGGATCTGGGGTATGGTAAAAACTAAAAACATTCAGAAAGGGGCCCAAAGTCTTTAAAGGAAAGATTTCAGTTGAAACGTGGTATCTGCAATAAAAGTTGAAAGATTACCTTATCTGAGTCAATGGAAACTCTAAGGCCTATCTTATTCATTCCACTATTTTTCAAGGTTTTAAGATGTGGGCAAAGAGCAGTATTGCAAGCAATAGCAATCTCTTTAGCAAACTGGTGAGGAACAGGGCTGGATAGTTCATGGTCCTTTTGAAAATAGTACACCTGAAATTATAGGAGAGATAAGACAGCAGCCTGGTTATATTAAAAAAAAAAAAACACACAAAAGAAAAATACTTCAATGTACACATAATACAAAACAGAAAGCCATATATACCAATGCTTGGTCGCTGGCAAAGTATTCCAGTATTTTATCTGTTCAATCAAAATACATATTGAGTGACTATGGGAATAGTTGAGTGGCTATGGGAATATCTGGATTATATATTTGTATAGTTATCAAAACTTACAGACATGACCAAGTCTCTTTTCAGAAGGAAAATAATGAAAAGGGTGTAAAATGATCAAAGAATTACAGAAAACAGTTGGCATATCAGTAAGGCCACATATTAAGTAAATTAATCTGTTAGGTGGTAACGTGGCTAGAGATGGTACCAAACTACTCTAAACAGTGGTAAAAACAACACTCGGGTACAATGTAATTTACTAACTTCAGTACACTTCATAATTTTTCCCTCGGTTTCAAAGTCTCCACCTTGTAGTACTTTTTCACTCTGAGCTCCTTCCATTGATTTTCCATCTACTGGGCTTAAAATTCTACAGAGGAAGATAACATAGTTAATAATTACACCAACATCTTACCTCATACAAGTTATTCAGCCTAAAGCACAATGTTTAAATAACATTTAGGGATGACTAGACAGTTACATAACAAAAATCTAATACAATTTGCATCATGAAAATACAGAGGCTACAAAAACAAATAATCCTAAATAGAAAACAAACACACCACTTATTGAATACAAAACTCATCTTACCGGCTGAAGAAACTAGAAACCTTCTTAGGCAAAGCCCTTGTTTGTTCTAATTGATCAGAGAAGCCACAGGAAAAGGTATAGCAAATCAAGCCCTAGCCTGACAATCAATGTATTTAATTAAAATGCAAGAGGCAAGTTTTGAATTAGTGATGGGTAATTAAATCATTGTTAGTGTTTGACTCTACGTAAACAAATGTTCCAATCATGGGGTATAAGGATGTATTACATCCCGTTTCATCTTGCCGACTGAAGGCTGCATTGTAAGGAATTAGTGGAAAAAGCCAGTACTGTGCGCTTCCAAGCTCCTGTAAATAATGAGCAAGCTTAAAAGGGATTCATTCCATCTTCACACAAATTGATTATGCCTTAGACAGAGAACCTGCAGCAAAAACAACAAAAAACTGAGGGCTCACAGCCTCTTCCTGTCAGCTTCCAGAACACAGAACAAAGCAAAAAGTATTCCTCAGTGACCACCACAAGCAAAATTGTTTTGCTAGTGACATCTAGAGGACTGCAGGTAGTTTACTGTC